TTGCGTTTAATTTTTAAGAGAAGTTCGTTGGACTTGTTGGTATTCAAGTGAAGATGTCCTATTAAAACCCTAAAACCTACATCAATTGATCTATCAATTGGTACTCTTCTCATTATCTTGACATTCTTCTCATTAAACGGAAAAGAATGTTAATGTTGAAAATACATTGAGGGATGTTAAAGTTGGAATGACGATGGAGGAAAAGAAAAATTGCCATGGATGGGTGGTATTTTTTTTTAGAATTCTTTTTAATTTTTTAATTAGTTAAATAGATTAAAATAGTTGTTTTTTTAAAGTTTTATTTTTTAAATAACTTTTTGGATTCAAATACCACGTGTTATCATTCAATTTGTCATTATGTCATGCCATCGCCATCTCATAGCGAGTGTATTACACACATATCAGCTTTTTTGCTGATTAACAAAAAAATGTCCAATAGGTATTAGTTTTAAGGCCTGTGTTCATTTAACTTTACACCAAAATGGCCTCTATCACACATTTATTCCAATTCTCACAAAATATATTTTTTTTTCTTCTTATTTTCACCTACCTCTTTTACATGGATTTTAATCCCTTATAAATTTTTAAAATGGAAACTTATTGTTAACGAGCTAAATGTGCCAAAAACGAAAGATCTTTTAATATAATTTGAATAAAATTTGATCGTGAAATTCATTCTGCTCTTCTTAAATGTATATTTTATTTTAAAATGAAAAATTAATTCTTGATCTTGAGCACATTGAAACTTTGAAAAAGTCCAATTCTAAAGTGCGTTTTTATTAAATGATGTCTCTAAAAAAAGTATTCAGAATAGTGAAAGGATATATATACCTAAGTACCTAATAATAACACAAAGTTCGATCGAGATATATACTGTTACTTGAAAAGATATCGAATGATCGTTTCTGATGAAACTTAAAAATAATAATAATAAGATTTAACCTTAAGTAAAGTTGATTGAAGACCGAATATACTTCAAGGCGTATCCTTAAAAAAGTTATCAGAACATTTCAAACCTAAATAAAATACAACTTGTTTGATCTTAATATTTCACCTTTTATTTTATTTTGTACTTTTATTTTTCCTCTTTAATTTCTTTCTGACTTTTCAATGAGAGCTAATAATGTAAATAATTTTAAGAGAATTTTTAATCTAAAAAATTGTACGCCACAAAATTGCAAATTGTGACAGTGCCAATTTATATTTTTATTTTTATAAAAATTTAAATTACCTACAATCAATTAAAAGTCACTTTCTACTCCACCAATTGACAGTGGTTTTATTACCATTTTTGTCTTCTTATTTATGTTCCCATCCTTTCCTCTCCAATAACCCCACCCCCCACCCCCACCCTCCCAATATTTTTTTTCTCATTTAAAATAAATATTTTTTTTGCTTTTTTAATTTAATTTGAAATAAGTAATAAAAATTAAAAGCAAAATATTAAATTTATTTTATTTCACTTTTATTGATTTGTTGTTTATACTGAATAAATGAATATACATATATTGCGATAAAGTGATATATATTTTTTTATCACTAAAATCAAAAGTTCTGAATATTCAATAGAATATACTTAAGTATTTCGTATGTGACTTTAAATTAATCGAGTCGAGTACATCAATTACAAATACATGTCATAATATACAAAATACTTGAGTGTAAAAAAAAAATATACACACAAAAACATGCTAATTATAATACCTCGCGTGCAAGCATGCACTCATTTTTTTATGTGTGTATATCCAACATCCCACTAAACATATAAGCAATTATATTTTGATAATCTCTATACTTTATAATTATTTTTTTTGTAGTTTCAAAAGAGTGGACTGTAAGTAATCAGTCACAAAACAGAGATTGAAAATAAATAAATAAGACAGATAGGCCAACCTAGGGATTGAGGATATTTTTCCCTTCCAAAATAATTTAATTTAAGAGAAAAATGATAAATATCTCAAACTATCGTAAATGGTATACAGTTATGCTCCGTCATATTTGGGATAATGGTACCCCTGCCGTTCAAAAACTAGAACGTAGATGCCTTTCATTCTAACAGAAGACTAAACAGGGACAAATGATACAATCTTATCCACTCATCTGATGTCGGGTCGCACTACAACAAAAATGACCATTAGCGACATTTAATTCTTAATAATTGTCACTAAATATGTATTTTTAGCAGCAATTGTCAGTCTTTACATATGTCCCTAAAGCCTTTAGCGATATTGATTATAATCACACTTAACTAATGACGGTAAAGACATTAACACCTTTATTAGTGTCAATATTTAATGCCGCTAAAAGTTATTTTTATTATAAATATTATGGATAAGATTATGACACATGTATTTCCATTAGTATAAAAGATATATATATATATATATATATATATATATATA